AGCAAGGATCCTCCTGTCTCAGCTTCCTGAGTGCTGGTATTACAGGTGTGCACCACCATGCCTGCCTCACTCCTGGTTTAAATTCTTTTAAAATAGAAAATATTTTCAAGATGAGAAATCAGTATAAAGGAAGCAAGGGTTAGTTCTGAAATGGAAATGTTTGCTCAGCAGAAAAACAAAACAAAACCTTGTCCAAAACTAGTTGCACCCAGGTCTTGACTGAAATGCATCCAAAGTCCGTTTACCCCGGAAGGAATGAGAGAATATTCCAGAGCTGGGTCAGGAGACGCAGGTAGCACGACTACACTGTGGCCAGTTGCTTCTCAGGATGCTCTTGAGCTCTGTCTTCAAAGCTTCTGGGTCTCTGGCATAGGGACCCAAGCTGGAGATTTGAGGGAAGGGGAGAGGAGGCAACGAAACTGGCATCGGTGATGACTGTGGACCCGAGATGCCTCTCCTTGGTCCCTCGTCCCAGGTCCTGCCCCTCGCCCTGAGTGTTGGCGTCCAAGCTAGGGGACCGGGCCCCTCCTTCCTCCCTCCAGCCAAGCCAGAGACCTCTCAGGGGGCGTGCCTTTCACCATGGGTCACGCCTGCGTGCCACGGTTCCGGGACGTCGATGCCTCAGGGCCGCTAGCACCTTCCCTCTGTGGATGGCGGTGGCCCTCCGACTCTGGACTGACTTGGGCTCCTTCCAGCCGGCTCAGGTGTCCGGCGCCATGCAGAGACCCTCCACCCTGGCGGCTGCTGGCACGGCGGCCTTCCTCTCTCCGCACACCTGTGCTGGTGTCCGTGTCCCTCTCTCTGTCCTAGACGTCCCTGGGACTCCTGACCTCTCGGTCGCAGGAGCCTCTCGCCCACTCTCACCCCGCTTCTCCCCTCCTCGGACGCAGCCTCCCTCATTTTCACTCGAGAGCGCCCCCTCTCGGCTTCCCTCAGTCAGCTGTTGGAAGGTCTGCGGCCCTGCACTGCCTTTTTCTGGGACCCCTCTCCGTGCCCCAGGTGGCCACCGATGCTCGTCTCAAGAGGTGGCCCCAGCAGCAGACCTGCTCCCGGAACCGCTCTTCCCTGGCTGGGCATTCTTGTGGAAGGAAGTACTACTAACTGGGAGCCCCCACCTCCTCCCTGGCTCCTCCTCAGTATTTCCATGGTGGATGTGAGCTGCTGGGAACCCCTCTACTTAGTTGTGAGGCCCCTCCTGGCGGACACCTCCTCTGAACTAAGGAACTGAGCTTCTTATGCCTGCCTCACCAGATTATTTTTCTGCTGGGCCAAATGGGTTGCTATACCCCAGCCTCTCCCTCCAACACCATCCGGTAAGGCAAAAACCGTCTACCCCAGGCCCCAGTCACACAGGCCCGTGGGACAGCTCTCGCATCTTGGCCCACACCGGAAGGGCTTAGAACTCCTTCATTCCAGCGGGTCTGTTTTCCCCAGCAGGCGTGTTTAAACGTTTTAACTCTGAGTGGATAATTTTGTCTACATTAAAAAGAATTTCAGGAATTACGTTGATAGCACTTTTTTCTTCCTCTGCAAGGTCTCTTGCTTTATTCTCTTTTATCTCCACTCCTATTTGCTTACCCCTTAGCTGTCCAGGCCATTCGGCTTGTTTTTCTGTGTTCTTCAAAAAACAATTTTTTTTTTTGTTTTTTAAATCTTGCTTGCATGGTATGCATTTTAAATTTGTGCAGAGTATTGTATTATTTCTCATTCTGTTTCTATTCACTCCATGCTAATCTTTTTTTTTGTGTGTGTGCTAAAATTTTTAAGACTGATCTATGTAACTTCTGTTCTTTTAACTGCTGCCCCTCTCCGTGGCCTTTACCCGCCATGTTTCACCCTTCTCATCTGCCTGCCCCCACCAGGCATATCCATGAACAGGCCCCGTGCGATGCTTCTCAAGCATTAGTGTGCACACGTATCACCCAGGGAACCTTGATAAAATACAGTCTGTGATTCTGACGCAGCAGGTCTGGGTGGGACTTCATACTCTGCTCTTGTTCTTGTTCTTGTTGTTGTTGTTCTTGTTTGTTTTTTGGTTTTGAGGCAGGGTTTTTCTGTGTAACTCAGGCTGGCCTGGAATTCAGTGTGTAGCTCAGGCTGATCTTAGACTTGTAGGCCTCCTGGCTTAGCCTTTCAAGTGCTGGGAATACAGGCCTGTGCCACCACATCTGGAGGAGACTGCTTTTTTTTTTTTATTCCTTTTTCCAGTACCAGGAATTGAACTCCTGACCTCTTGCTTGCCAGGCAGGCCCTGTGCTGCTGAGCTAAATCCCCAGGCCCAAGACAGCATTTTTAAACAGGTCCCTGAGGATGTCTATACTGCTGTTTCTAGGACTACATTTTGAGGAGGAAGGCCCACACAGACCTCTGCCTTCCAATATGGCTGTACTATCCCCTACCCTACACAGGAGCAGCAGGAGGGACCAAAGTAGATATTTACATATGGGAAAGAGGCCCTCTTCTTGCTCCTACCCGTATCCTGTCCCCTAGTATATATGGTTTAGGCCCAAACTTCCTGTCTCCCTTGACTGGAATGACCCCAAGTCTCCAGAGTGATGATACTGGTTAGCCATGCATGGTCAAGTCAGTGAAGGATCCAGGCCAGGTGTCCTGGTCTCCATCCACCACATAAGCCTCAGTGCGTAAGACATCTGTACAGGTTTGACTCCTGACCTCCCTAGCTCTGGGTCTAATTTCTGATAGGAATTTTGAGACTAAGGGAAGCCATAGTCTTTATTTAGGTTGTTGTCTTTCCTCCAGCCCCTATGACCTTTCCCTTTAGTAGCCTGTTAGGGGGACTGGGATCCAGATAGCCTGGCCTTGCCACTGGTGAGTGGCTATACTAAGTCTGACTTCTGGTCTCTAAAATGGGGTAGTTATAGTGTATATAATTTGTGGAGCTAGGAGTCAGTCTAGGTACTTCACCTGCATGTCAGGAGCCCCACAGGAGTCAGACAGGTGTCCTTGTCTTTGTCTTGCTCATGAGGAAAATGAGGAAGAATTTTCCACTAAGACCAGGGAGCTAGAAAGTGACAGACTGAGCACCAGCAAGTACACCATGTAACCATAAAGCTATGCCACCTCCATGTCCTATCTTGTCTTCCAAGGATGTATTGGAGGGAGAATACAAAGAGACAGGAAGGAAGGACTGATCCTTAAGTGTCAGGCACTGAAGCTGAAGGCATCCAACCAGTGACATGCAGGATTATAAAACTATAGCAAATGGGTTTTGGCAAAAATGAACCATGGTTCTAGGACTTGGTCTGTAGGGCCTGAGTATTTAGGTGGTGGGAGAAAGGGGCCTTGGGTCTGGAGCTTCCGAAGTGAGAATTTTGGGGGTTAGATACCAAGTGGGGTCAGGACCAGGCAGGAGTTGGGGAGGGTCAGGTAGGGACAGGAATGGATAGGGGACAGGAGGGTGGACCCTAGCTGTGGGTAAATTGTCTGTTATACATTTTACTTGGTAATCACTTAATGTTTCGTTTGGAGGGTTAATCAGATGTGCAAATGGGAGCCAGGTATGGCGGTGCTTGCCTGTAATCCCAGGACTGAGGCAGGAGGATCGCTGTGAGTTTGGGCTACAAAGTGAGCTCAAGACCAGTCTTAATTGTACAATGAAACCCTGTCTCAAAAAGATGTGCAAATGGGCAGAATCTGGAGTGTCAAAGGATGTTACCTTCCAAAGCCCTTCTGGGCTCTGAACAGCTTGCTGGGATGGTTTTGGAAATCCCTGAGCTATGCTTTTTCTACTCACACAGCTGTGCAAGCATCTCCTGGCACCAAGCCTCAACCCCAAGGATTTCACAATCAAAAGAGTTCACCATGTGCACATTTTGAGATTTCACAACACAAGGCCTTTTACATATTGTCCACGGCATCCATCCTCTGCTTACTGTTTTAGGGCCAACATTCTGTTTCTGGGAAACTTCCTGTTCTTTTATTGGCTTTCTGGGTCAAAAGACCTTTGAGCCTAGAGAATATTCTTAGAGTTCAGATCAACATCTTAACAGTCTTTTTGGCCTTTACAAAGCATTCTGCAAATAGATATTGCCTTTGATTCCCAGTGACCCTGTGACAATGTAGGGACCAACTTACCACTGTAGTTTAAAAGAATGAATTGGCCAAGGCCATACATTGTGTAGGTGGCTGAAATGGGGCTTGTATGTTTTCCATAAAAGACATGGGGACTGAGTAGGTAGGGGCTGAGGGTATAGCTTAATGTTGGAGCATACTGCTGGGCGTGGTGGTGTACACCTGTAATCCCAGCACTCAGGAGGATAAGGCAGGAGGATCATTGTGAGTTCGAGACCAGCCTGGGCTACACAGTGAGCTCAAGGCCAGTCTGAACTGCCTTGCGAGATCCTGTCTCAAAAAGACCAAAAAAAAAAAAAATGTTGGAGCATACTGTGCATGGGCAAGGCTTTGAGCACCCCCCTCCCAAAGTGAAACTCGCTACCTTGGTTGTTCTGTTTCCCAGCTTGGGGCTGTGGACTGAGGCAGGAGGTAAGACATCTAGGGAAGAGAGATGTCTGAGTAGAAAGGTCAGGACGTAAGTGAGGTGTGGTTTCCAGGTTTTTGATCAGTGCTCCCCCGGCTAGGTTTCTGTCACTTTCCAGAGCCTGTGGTCCTCCTGAGAGTGGAAAGAGGATTGATAGGAGGAGGAACTAGTCCAGGAGTGCTGGGAGTTTGAAGGTGGCTGTCACAAAAAGACACTGCCAGCTCCCAAGGGAACCCCAGTGGGTGTCCCCACATCCGTATAGGTGCTCTCAGTGACTTGGCCAAGCTCTGCTCCTGACTTAGCCATCTGTCCAGTCCCCTCAAACCTGACCCCTTATACCAGGTACCTGCAGCATCAGCTTGAGGAAGGTTCCCAAGACAAGGCCAGAAATGTACCTGCTGGCTTCAGTGACACCACACAGGCCTCATCTTGAGATGGGGTCCCACTGCCCTCCCTCTCCCTAGGGCTCAGGCCCTGGTCCAGGGCTCAACAGACACAGGCAGCAGGATGGGGTTGCTTCTATTCGTTCAAGTCCTGAGCATAGCCTGGGTGATTCATGGAGGTGAGGAGGCCCACTAGGCTCAGCAGTGTGGAGAAGAGCAGCAGGAAGGAGGCAGTGAAGAGTAGGGCAGGCAGGGCGCTGAGCACCAGCAGCAGGACGGCTGGAAGCAGATGGCGCCACGCCGCGGCCACCACGGGCCACAGGGAGCTCAGCAGGTGGGAGCCAGTGGTGAAGAGCGCGTGGCACAGCATCAGGGCTAGCAGCAGGTAGAGAATCCCCTCCAGGCTCCATAGCACCCGCTGCAGTGGCTGCCTCCAGCTGGTTGTGGCCCACCACTGGGCCCAGCTCTGGGGCACATGGCGAGCACACCAGCGCATCCAGTCCTGCCGGGTGAGCCAGGCTGACCAGGGAACTGCCCGCTGTGGCCCCTCGCCAGCCCCGCTGGCATCCGTCTCCACTCTCGGCTGCTGCATCATGGGTGGTGCACCTGCGGACAGGGCCGCAGCTGCAGGAGCAGCCCCGGAAATGCCTGGGACCTCAGGGCAGGTGAAGGTATGGGGTCTGGAGGGCACCAGGCTGGGCGAGGTGGGGCTTTGAACTGGGGTCCAGGACTTACCTCTGGGTGGAGCTGCCTAAGTCATGTTTTTTCCTGCTGTATCCAGGACTGCCTGGCAACTGGATCTGAGCTGCCACTCTTACTCACCCCCTCCCTCCCCAGAGGAGCTCCATTGTGACCCGGACTGGGGTGGGGTCCTGTGGAAAGAGAAGCTACTGCTCCTCTGAGGTTCCTGAGCCCCTCTCCACGGACCCTATAGGTTGGCAGGGGAGCCTGAGGAGGCCCACAGATGCTTCTCATGCTTTCTTGTGGGAAGTGCCCCTCTCCCATCCCTGTCTGCTCTTTGATACTGATACCACCCCCACCCTACTCTTACAAGTCTTTCTCTCCAAATTCTCCTTTTCCAGAACCAGAATGGCTGCCTGCAACATGCAGCCTCTGGGATGGCTGCCACATCTTGCCTTGGACTCTCTACCTCATGTGGTGCCTTCTTTTATTGCTCCAAGCTTCAGACCCAGATTTTTTACTACCCAGCTTATGGAGCCAGAGACCCCCTGAGGTTCAAGCCTGCCCAGCCCAAGATGGAGGAAAAGAGGCCTGAAGAAGTAGGGTGGCCAGTGTATTGGGGGAGGGAGCATTTGATGTTTTGGGAAGGTCCTCAGGCCCAAGGATGCAGGCAGAAAGCCAGGCCCAGCAGGGCCAGGGGCATGCTATGGACTCCCAAGAGCAGCCCCAGGCCCAGAAGCAGCAGGAGCAGTGTGTCCTGGAGACTGGGGTGTCCTCTTGGGAAGAGGGTAGCCGCCTGCTGTCTTGGACCCTCGCCGGCCCCCTGACTCTGGCCCCTTGTGAGAAGTCTGTGTGGCGGCAGCCTAGGACCTGCAGGCCTACAGAGAGAGAGAGGGTGGCAGCTGGGCTGGTGGAACTGCCTACCTGCCAGGCTGCTGCCCACTTACCTATGGAGCAGGTCAAAGGCGAAGAAGCTGATCAGCAACAGCAGCAGCAGCAGGGCTGGTCCGGCCGTGGTAAAGACTTCTCTGGTTGTCAGCCTAAGTGCCCTGAGCCTTAGGATGCTGTCCAGGAGCTGAGCCTGGCTTGAGTGCCAGGGGGATAGTCATGGGTGCACTGACCTACCTGATCTCTCCACAGTACTAGGCCCTGGGAAGGGAGGAGGACTGGATCTATAAGGGCTTTCAGTCTGGGTAAACAGAGCCAGGTCATGGACGGATGTGGAGGGGATGGCAGGTCACCTTAGTCATGGAAGAGGGACAGGGTGGGGAGGATGGGGCCCTGGCAGACACCAGAGGATGACCTCAGAGGGTGGGAATTGGGATCTTGGGGAATTTCTCCCTTCGCACATACCCACCCCCCCCCAAGCCCTTTTCCCTTCCTCCCCCTTTGATCAGCTATTCTGGGACTAGACAGCTTGGGGCATTGTGACCTCTTGCCAGGGAGGGCCCTGGGGTAGTTAGGGGGCTACAGCTGGTCTGGCTATATAGGTACTGGGGTCTATGTAGAGCCCAGTCAGCAAATTAGTGATATCTGAGAACAAAAAGCTTTTGCTAACTCTCTGCCCTAGGATTCTCCCACGGGACTCTGGGCTGTCAGGAAGGCATTTTAAAGACATCACTACAGGCTGCTGTCCAAGGAACAGTGACCGCTTTCTTCTTCTGTGGGTTGCCAGACCCATGTGTTCATGAGTCATTCAACTCTTCTGTCCCCATCATTCTCTCAAAGTGGGGTGATGCCTGTGGACTCTTGGAGGAGGTGGTTTCAGGCGGCAGCCCTGGATGTAGAGGTGGGCTCTGCCAAGGTACAGCTAAGGCTTTCTGGAGCTGGGCTCCCACAAGGCCTGCCAAACGGAGATGAGGCAAGAGGGGCTGTTGAAGTGATCTAAGCATCACAGTTTGTGGGAGGTGTTCTGGGTGCTGGGGTTTCAGAAATGGGACAAATGCTATAAGCCCGAGAGGGCTACGACCAACATAGCAAGCCCCAAATTGGAGGTTAAGATTACTCTCTGAGAATGAAATGAATGAAAATGGACAAGTAATGAAGGAATTGGTTGCTTGGGAAAGAGCCTGTCTCCACTGACAATCTGTAAATGGGTGGCAGCTGCAGAGATTCCAGCACATCGTGGTGTAGTGACTTGAGAGGCAAGGTAGAAATCTTTGTCCCCACATCATACTTGGAAGGAAAACTGAGTGAGGTGGGACAGGAGAGACAGCAGTCATAAATTCCCTATAAGAAGAGGAGGTAGAATAAGAATCAGGCTGCGTCCAGCAGGCTCTGGCCAAAGACTCAGACCTGGTGGCCTTGATATCTTTGGTGGTGATGGGTTTGAAAGATCATAGAGCCAAGGCCACCTGCCCTTGGGACCACTCACAGATGGCCAGCTCTTCTTCTGGCTCTTGTTGCTTATCTAGCCACTGGACTTTTGGTATAGATTTATCTAAAAGGGATAGGGTATAACAAAGGATCCTCGTTTGTGTTTTTCCCTCTAAATTCTAATGTCTTTGTAAATGAGCAAATTAGTATTAAGGTTTAATAGTGCCAGTCCCCTGAGCCTAAGCAAGATTAGAATCATCCACAAAATTCTGTCCTGGACATACAGAACTGAGGGTCATGTCCTGATGATTCCGCCAAGATGAGGTGACTACATATTGTAAGAGATCAGATAATTAGGGGAGGTTGACACATGGGTGGTTAGTTATACTTACACACAAAAATTTACACCTACATGATTGACCCCCAATAAAAATACTGGATACCACGTGTTATGGTTTATATCTGGATGTCCCCCAAGAACCCCATATGCTCAGAGACGGGGCTTTTAGAAGGTGACTGGATTATGCGGATTTGTAGCTAACTTGCTGTTAGGAGGTGGGGTCTGGTCAAAGAGTTAGGTTACCGGGGGAGTAGCCTGGAAGGGTTTATCTTCATCCCCAGTTCACCTTTCTGCTCACTACTTTCTACCCGCCATGCCCCTCTGCCATGCTGTCCTCCTGTCTTGGAGCCAGCTAACTATAGATTGAAATGTGAGTCAAAATAAACCTTTCCAAGCTGGTGATATAGCTCAGTGGCACAGGCACCTGCCTGGCAAGTGCAAGGTCCTGAGTTTGATTCCCGGTACAAAAAAAAAACCCTTTCCTCCTTTAATTTTCCGTGTCATATGTAGTGTCTCAACAATGAAGAAAGTAGCTAAGACATCAAGAATCCAACGAACTTACCTTGTTGGCAGTGCTCTGTGCCTGTTGCCACACATCATGCAGAGAGAATTAGGCACCATCCATATGACTCCATTTCCAGATGATGACTGGAAGCTTGTGCCGGGTATTTTCTGGACCCTGCCCTCTGTCCCTGTTCCCATTGCTGCTTTTAATCTGTCATGGTTTCTTTATAATAAACTGTAATCATGAGTACTAGTGAGCTATTAAACATGGAGCTGGTCTTGGGGACCCCCAAAAGTATTAGTGTCAGAAATGAGATTCATTAGAACAACCCTGCCCCATTACAACGTGGTGAAAGAAAGATTTGAGAAAAAAAAAAAAAAAGTGAGATTGTGTCTTTGATTCCTGAATGGCCACTTGGTCACCCACGTAAGGAAATGTAGCTGCACTGTAATCAGTTATTAGAGGAAAAGATTACCAATAGGATTTATTAATTGTAGAACCAACTCCTACAGAGGTAAGCCTTCCAGAAAGTAGAGTAATATCCAAAGCCCATGAAAAAAAAGTCAGTAAAATTAGAGGATCAATATTTGAATAATTGTAGTTTTAGAAAATTAAAATAGAGAAAAAGAAGGAATTTTTCAAAAATCAAGATAAAAATCAAGACAAGAACTGAATGACACAAGTCTCTAGACTCTATGATTCTGCCAGTGTTGTGGGGTTCAGGACCAGACCAGACGAAGACACTGCCCCAGAGGCACTTTGGAAGACATACAGCTTTATTATACTAGTGGACTGGGGAAATATTGAGGTCCAAAGCACCAGACTTTTGTTAAAGTAGGGTAGTCATTTATATAGGTTTTCAGAAGGAAGTACAAAAGACAGATAACGTAACATTCTATAGTTGGTTACACGTCTTTGTCATTAATTGCTAGGCAGAATTTACTCTTACAGGAACTAATAAGGTTACTATCTTATAACATGGAGAAAGAATCATTGTCTGAGACTGGGCAGAGGTGTCCTTGAGGCCATAATTCTGTGGACTTGAAAGTAAGTAAAACATCACTGTCTGGCTGAGCTGCACTTATCTTGTACATGGCTGTGGGAGCACCATGGCTCATCAAGTTTTGTAGCTCTCTAATTATGAGAATCAATTGTGTTTCCCAGTCTCATCCTTGAACAGCATTAGAAATATATTAGTGTCAGAAATATAGGATCAGCCAGGTGTGGTAGCACATGCCTGCAATCGCAGCACTCGGGAGGCTGAGGCAGGAGGACTGTTGCAAGTTTGAGACCAGCCTGGGCTACAACATGAGCTCAAGGCCAGCCTGAAATGCATAGTGAGACCCTGTCTCAAAAAAGACAAAAAAACAAAACAAAACAAAAAACCCTTAATTTTATAGTACGAAATTCACAGATAACATCAGAATAGAAAAATCAAGAACTAGCCATGGAAACATAAAGATAAATACAAGGAAAAGTAGCAAAAATAATTAAAAGTGATTGTTTTGGGAATGCAGAGGCACAGAGAAGAGAATTCTATTATAAACCTACGTGTGATTTAAACTAGATTGTATTTTGAGAAAGATGATTTAGTTATAAAAGTAAATTATATAAGTTATACTAAGTAGAGATCAGGAATAAACCCTCCCAGAATGAATGAAAGATTAATTTCTTATTGTTATATGGATATAGTATTATGTGGCTTAAGATAAAAATTACAGGGAAAACATCAAGCATCATTAATCTCAGGAAGTTGTGAATCTCATGCATTTTTTATGGATGTGCTCTAAACCTCCATGTAGCCTTTCTCAGTCTTTAAAGTGCATGGGAACCTCTTGGGGTTGAATCCTCTGGGATTATTGTTAAAATGCAGATTCTGATGCAGAGATTCTGGATTTCTAACAGGTTCTCAGGAAATACCAATGCTGCTGGTCCTCAGCTATACTTTGGGGAGGGAGGCTGTCAAAGACATTGATGTGGCCGGGTGTGGTGGTGCACACCTGTAATCCTAGCACTCAGGAGACTGAGGCAAGAGGATCATTTTGAGTTCAAGACCAGCCTGGGCTACAAAGTGAGCTCAAGGCCAACCTGAACTCTTTTGTCTTCTTTGAGAACCAGTCTCAAAAAGACAAAAAA